CGAGAAGTAGAAGTTGACTTGGATTTTAATCAGTTTACCTGTTGTTGTTAATGATGATGATACCTGCTTTTAACATCTGTTATTACTGACAATTTTAATATTTGTTTTATTTTGTATAGAGGTTCTAATTACAATCAAGCAGTAAATAAATCTTGTTGCATGAATAAATAAATCGTGAATTGCCTGATGAGTTTTGCCCTTCAAACTATCTTTAACCTCTGCAGAGGTAGGTGACAAAATTTGATGGTTCACCCTGGGAAGCTGATGGAGACAGATGGTTTGCTGAGGGCTCTTGGGGATTTTCCTCCAGGTTTAGCCAGCAGTCCTGCCATGGCCCTGGTCTCTGCTTGGATTTGCACAGTGCTAAGCCAAAGCTGTCACACAGTTCCAAGGCATGTCCAGAGTACCAGCTGAGCTGAGATTTAGTGACAGATCTCCTTCAGCCATAACCGCCTGTCACATAAGATTGGCAGCAGAGTCCCTCTGCTTAGGCCCACCTCTGAGAGCAGTCAGTCTGGAAACTCTAATGGAGAGGACCTTTTTTGTGGTGGCCCCATACATATAGAAATTACTGCCAGCTTCTATGGCAGCCCTAAAGGCCCATTTGTTTTCACCAGCTTTTTCTTGAGGTGTTTTTTTGGGGGGAGGGGATTGCTGATGGGTGTTGGTTGTACCTATTCATTGGATTTTAGTCCAGTTTGGGCTGGATGGTGAAAGAAGTTTTTGAGGTTTTTGAGAGTGTTTCAACAGTGTTCCTTAGCTTTGCAAACTGCTGCTATTCACAGAACCATCAAATTGTAAATTGTAGAGTTGGAAGGGATCCCAAGTGTCATCTATTCCAGCCGCCTGCAATGTAGGAATCGCAGCTGATTGATACGGTTTTTGTATTGTGCTGCTTTTTTGTTCCATTTTAGTTGGGCTTTAAATGTTCTTCACCTTTTCTCGAAACCGCCCAGAGAACTTTGGTTATCGGGTGCAGATGTGTAGTAAATAAATAAATATAAGCATCACCTTTGGGAACTTCTGAGGGGCACCTGAGTGATGGAATCAGGACTGATCCAGCAACATAATTCATGTGTTGTGGTTTTTAAATCAAGTTTTGTTAAGTTTTCATAATGTTAAGAAAGCCATTAACAGAAACATGCCATCACCGATGGCAACTCACAGACGGGGCAATCTTATCAAGACTACAAAGGAAAATTACTGAGTATACAATTCTCGAATAAATACTATAATTTGCTTGCCATGAAATATCCCCCACCGCATCATGTGGATCAGTGGGGGCTGGTATGAGGCGTTATATCTGTTAATAAAGGTGATAACACCCCAAAGGGTGTGGGCTGTGGTAGCAGGAAGAGATTTTCCCATTTGCAGTTTTGATTATGTATTTTTCACACTTTCGATTTTACATTAATAAAAAACAGAGTCCCAAGGGAGCCCCATCTCACAGTTTGGCCCCACTTGAATTCCACACTGCCCCTCCATCCGTGTAGCTGACAGTTGTGACACTTGCTCTTTATGGCACACCATGGCGTTCTGTTTGTTTTCAGCCGAGAGCAAAGGCCACCCCAGGGTCTGGGACCAGAATCTGGCTAGTTATACCAGAGATGCCCAAACCCAGAACTGGCTTACTCTTGACACATTCCCACCACATGTGAATAATTTCATTCGTGAGTTCTTAAAACAGACAAGATGGCAAAATCACAACACCGAAGGAAGCTAAACGTGAAATGACACGATTATGATGAAGGAATGAAGCTTATAGTCCTTTGCTTGATGTCTTGCAGCTATCGCACGATGCTAAAAACGTGAAAGCATTTTATCACGCCTTCCCCATCGCACTTCATTCCTTCTTCCCCCATCCAAGCCTTGCCTCTCCTTAACTTAGGTGAACAGGTGATGTAATAAGCAAGTTCAGGCTGCGACAGTGTTTAAGAGGATGGCTCTGTATAAACAAGTGTTTGGGCGACACAGCTGTACTATCGCAAGGAAGTCGCTAACTTCCATCACATCTGTTGATGCTTATCATCAACTGAAAGCTGAAAGTTTCGGTCTTTGGCAGAGTGCCTTCAGACGTGCTAATTAACACCATAGCGGCTATTTTTGTCTGCTTCCCCACCTACACCCTGCTCAGAGTTCCCATTTTTCAGTGTCACACACGCAATTATCTAGCTTTAATAGTGTCAGAGAACACCTTGGGGAAGGGTAGTAATTCAGTGCATGCTTTGCAAGCGATGGGTCGCGGGCGCAATCCTCTGAACTTCCAGGTAGGATTTGAAAACACTCCTTCTCTAAAAACCATGGAAAGCTACTGGCAGCTGGGATAGACAATACAGAGCTTGTTGGAAGGACCACTGGTCTGAGCGTGCATAAGGCGGCTTCCTCTGTAGCAGTTTGGGAGTAGCATGGGTCATTTTGTGTGAAAGCTCAGAAACTAGGCAACGGCTGAGTGGGGCTTCCATTGTGTTAATAAAAAGCTACATATTACTCTGCTAGGCTACACAAAGGACTCCACTGAGTGTGGAATCCTACTTTCAAATGCAGCCAGTCTGCTAGACGTTCACAAGCGAGCTGTAGCGGATTGCGTGGCAGGGAGATGGTGCTTACCTGACCTCCTGACAGTAGTTGCTGCTGCATACTGGGAGGGAGAGGGGAGGGGTGGCCAGGAGGTTGGTGCAGAGCAAATGCACAGGCGGAAGCATACGATTCAGTTGATGTGTTTGCACCCTGGTGACCTCCCTGCTGCCTCCACCACCCCTAATAAGCAGCAGTGACTCAGTAGCCAGGTGCCCCAACACACCAACTGGTGCTGCAACAGGAGGTGTTATTTGTCCACAGCACCTAGTATTCTGAGGTACCATCTAAGCAGAGGTTGGATGGCCATCCATCAGGGTTTCTTTAGTTGAGATTCCTGCATTGCAGGTGGTTGGACTAGATGACCCTCGGGGTCCCCTCCCGCCCTACAATTCTGTGATTCTCTATACTGCCTCTGTATTTGGAGGTACGATGATGTCGTTTCAAAGCACAGAGATGCACATGTGTAAAAGCACTGCTCACCATACTTTATGCAGTCGACACACGATAATATCACCAAGGCAACTATCTGTAAACAAACAATAAACGTCCATAAAAATGGCAAAAGTAGTTTCTTTCCCAAATAGGTTTTATCTTAAACAATAGCAAGCACAGTAAATAAAGAGCCCACTTGTAAAATATCAGTTATTCAGTGCTCATTTCTTCTCTTTCCAAAATAGATTTTATCTTGAACTATTGCAAATGCAGTAATAAAGAGTCCACTTGTGATATATCGGTGGTTTAGTGCTCAAACGTCGTTCCGATAATCCAACGTTTCGTCGCTAAAGAGCTTAGTCATCGAGCTTTCTGGTAAATAATATACAAGAGCCCCCTAGACTCACTCCTGCTCCTCAACATTATTTTATCTCTTGCATTAATTTCATTTATGGTTTGCTTCCCACGCAGCGTCCTGAAGCGATTAGCAATAAAAACTTTATAAAAGCACCAAGAATGAAAACATATATAAAAACTATTTCAATTCCACTTCAGATATGGGCTGGGACAAGGGTCTCCACTTAAATGACTTGTTGGAAAAGGGAGGTCTTTAATGGATGCTACAAAGACAAGAGAGAAAGTGCTTGTAACAGGCGGGAGTTCCAAAGCGCAGGTGGGTTAAATCACAGAGCCTAGGGCTTGCCGATCAGAAGGTCAGTGGTTTGAATCCCCGCAATGGGGTGAGCTCCCCTTGCTCAGTCCCTGCTCCTGCCAACCTAGCAGTTCGAAAGCACGTCAAAGTGCAAGTAGATAAATAGGTACTGCTCCGGCGGGAAGGTAAACGGCGTTTCCATGCACGGCTCTGGTTCGCCAGAAGCGGCTTAGTCATGCTGGCCACGTGACCCGGAAGCTGTACGCCGGCTCCCTCGGCCTATAAAGCGAGATGAGCGCCGCAACCCCAGAGTCGTCCGCGACTGGACCTAATGGTCAGGGGTCCCTTTACCTTTACAAAGACAGGAGAGAAAGCACTTGTAACAGGCGGGAGTTCCAAAGGTTATATGGCACCACTGGACCAAACAAAGCAGACCTTGTAATGAGATACTGCTTGTTACCCCTTGGACTGTGAGAGCAACTGAAGTCAGGGTGAGTTCAGAATGTCTGCAGACATTTAAGGGAAATCCTACATTTTCGCTAGACAGCATCCCCTCAACAGTACTTCTGGAAGGTGTCTCTTTCAGTGGTCAAATGTGCTTGACTGTGTTAGGCTGTGGGGACAGAGCCAGTGAGAAGCTGCTGTGCTGTTGATGATCACCAATAATCTACCTTTTTATCTACTACTTTGAAACAACATCAAGCTAAAAACAAAAGCATCACAGCGCTGCTAAAATGAGTGTCAGAAACACGAAGAGTATTGCATGACGTTTGCCGCCAGTTCTGTGCCCTTTTCCAGGCTGTGCCTGAGGCACACGCCCCTATCACCCAGCCCTAGTTATAATACAGGATTGGCTTGAAGGAAAATGAATCAGACTGCAGATATCTGCACTGTGTTATAAAAATGCTCAATGTATGAGACAGAAGGGGAAAAATGTAGGTTCGAAGGAGCTTCATGTCCCTTACATTCTAATGAGATTCCCAACTTTTTTATCCCTGGCAGGACTTCCATGCCTTTCCATGTAGCATGGCAGGCAGATGTTCAACAGGTGCAGCTCGTAGCAATCCATCTGCATGACAGGTAAAGCTTTCTCACCTGTTCAGTCTGTGTCTGCCATCCGTTCCATTTGCTAAATTGTCAATAAAACAAGGAGGGTAAGCCTAAATACAATGGACAGTATCCAATGCACTTATTTCATTTGCATGAGGATTTACATTTGCAGAACAGAACTTTCCCCTCTCTCCCCAATGATGCCCTGAAATCTGCTCTAGAGGTTTGGGGAAAATCCCAAAACCAATTTAGCGGGTGCATAGGGGAGAAGTGGGGAAGTTCCTTTTTTAAAAAAAATAATATTTATTAAAGTTTCAAAAGAAGAAAAATCACATTAATAAAAGAAAAAAAATTAACAATAATAAGAAAAAATACAAAATAGAAAAAAGAAAAAACAGTTAAAAACAATTCCATCTTTTCTTCACTTCTTTTACATTTACTTGTTTCCCGGACCTCCTCATACCTCCCTCTTTTGTATTCCAATTCAATTTGTTAATCCAACAATTTCTTTCCCTCTTCCTTTTTAGTCCTAATCTTTAATCTTGATATTATAACATTAAATTTTTACATATTAAAAACCAATTTTTCCATATTCTTTTGTACCTATACCACTAGAAACCACTTAACTTCAATCCAACATCATTCTAACATTCATTAATTTTGCAATATTTCTGTAAATAGTCTTTAAATTTCTTCCAATCTTCTTCCACCGACTGTTCTCCCTGGTCTCGGATTCTGCCAGTCATTTCCGCCAATTCCATATAGTCCATCAATTTCATCTGCCATTCCTCCAGTGTGGGTAAGTCTTGTGTCTTCCAATACTTTGCAATAAGTATTCTTGCTGCTGTTGTAGCATACATAAAGAAAGTCCTGTCCTTTTTTAACACCGATTGGCCGACTATGCCCAGGAGAAAGGCCTCTGGTTTCTTCAAGAAGGTATATTTAAATACCTTTTTTAGTTCATTATAGATCATCTCCCAGAAAGCCTTAATCCTTGGGCACGTCCACCAAAGGTGAAAAAATGTACCTTCAGTTTCTTTACATTTCCAACATTTATTATCAGGGACATGATAGATTTTTGCAAGCTTGACTGGGGTTATGTACCACCTGTATATCATTTTCATAATATTTTCTCTTAAGGCATTACATGCCGTAAATTTCATACCTGTGGTCCACAACTGTTCCCAGTCAGCAAACATAATATTATGTCCAACGTCTTGTGCCCATTTAATCATAGCAGATTTCACCGTTTCATCCTGAGTATTCCATTTCAACAGCAAGTTATACATCTTTGACAAAATCTTAGTTTTGGGTTCTAACAATTCTGTTTCTAATTTTGATTTTTCCACCTGGAAGCCGATTTTCTTGTCCAAATTATATGCCTCCATTATCTGATAATAATGAAGCCAGTCTCGCACTTTGTTTTTTAATTTTTCAAAACTCTGCAATTTCAGTCTATCTCCATCTTGCTCCAAAATTTCCCAATATTTCGGCCATTTGACCTCCATATTGAGCTTTTTCAGAGCTTTCGCTTCCATCGGTGACAGCCACCTTGGGGTTTTATTTTCCAATAAATCCTTGTATCTTATCCAACCATTAAACAGTGCTTTCCTGACAATATGGTTTTTAAATGCTTTATGTGCTTTAACCTTGTCATACCACAAGTATGCATGCCATCCAAATACATTGTTAAAGCCTTCTAGATCCAAAATGTCAGTGTTTTCAAGAAGCAGCCATTCTTTCAACCAGCAAAAAGCTGCTGATTCATAATAAAGTTTGAGGTCTGGCAGGGCAAATCCACCTCTTTCCTTTGCATCTGTTAGTATTTTAAATTTTATTCTGGGCTTCTTGCCCTGCCAGACAAATCTAGAAATATCTCTCTGCCACCTCTTGAAACAGTCCATTTTGTCCACAATTTGCAATGTTTGAAACAAAAACAACATTCTAGGCAATACATTCATTTTAACCACAGCAATACGGCCCAGCAGTGAAAGCTTCAAATTTGACCAAATTTCTAAATCTTTTTTCACTTCAGCCCAACATTTTTCATAGTTGTCTTTAAATAAGTTCCCATTTTTTGCTGTCAAGTTGATCCCCAAGTATTTAACTTTCTTAACCACTGTTAAACCTGTCTCATTCTGAAACCTCTCTCTCTCTATTGGTGTTAAATTTTTCTCTAAAACCTTAGTTTTTACCTTATTCAATTTAAATCCTGCGACTTGACCAAATTCTTGAATCAATTCTAAAACCCTTTTGGTACTAGATTCTGGCTTCTGTAGCGTCAGTACTAAGTCATCTGCAAATGCTCTCAATTTGTACTGTTTGGCTCCGACCTGTATACCTTTAACCAACTGGTCCCTTCTAATCATGTTCAGCAAAACCTCCAGGACCGAAATAAAAAGCAGTGGGGAAATTGGGCAACCTTGTCGTGTCCCTTTTTCTATCTTAAATTCTTCCGTCACCACATTATTTACAATTAATTTAGCCTTTTGTTCTGAATAAATTGCACTTATACCGTTTTCAAAGAAGTGGGGAAGTTCCATTCCACAAGCAGAAACCTTTATGCTAATTGAGCGGTTTGCTTTCACTACATTGGATGCTCCCCACTTATGTTTATACGCCAGTCTCAGTGCAAAGCAACGGGCAGAAGAGAAATCTAGGTCGTTTTTCTGTTCTGGCCAGTTGGCATCCTTAGGACAAAGGCTAAGAGAATGGCAATACAATTATAGGTGGCACTTAAGTTTTATAGTGATCGAGGGAGGTGAATGTCACGCCCTCCTAACTCAAATCAAAGCAATTAAAGTCTACGGTCAATCCCCACCCCCTTTGGAAAAAGATGTGTGAAAGGAACTAGAGAAAGGTTTGCAGATGTCCGGAATGTTCCTGCGCTGAGGCTGCGTGTGGTCGTGTCTCTGGCTGCTTTTGTTACATACAGAATAGAAAGGCTAGCCCCCTAAATTAGCACTAATGTGAGGTCACTTAATTTAACCCTGATGGGAGGTCTTTTGGAGGGCTGGGGAGGGAAATAATCAGAACAGAAACAATGAGCAGCTAGGCCAAACCCAGAGATGGGCCTGTTGGACAGTTGTTTTTTTTGGGTGGGTGTTCAATGTGGACAAAAGTAAACTATTGTCATGGGAGTAAAAAAAATGTAGCTACTTAAAGCAGCTGTGGAAACCTTTTTTTCACCTGCTGAGATGATGATTCTTCAAAACAGGTGCAAGGCCACCTACTGCTCACTGCAGTGTTTATCTTCCCGAGTTTCAGTATGATTATCACAATTTACTGCTCATTTCATTGTAATTTTGCTATCAGATGTACACTCGCCTTGCAGTTTTCTGCTGAAAGGCAGCCTGGAAGTTGAGAGATAGAGAGAGCAAGCATCACTGGAAATGCAGACTAAGGGACAAAGTGCTTTTTAATCTTACAGTATATTCTAATCTGAAAACACCTGAAAACTCCCTGCTCCAGAGGCCACGCAATTGTAGTGGCCTACAGCAGTGGGGAAAGGGGCCAGCTAGAGTCAGAAAGTCTAGGTCGAGGGGTTAACAAAATGTGGCCTGAGAGCTTCATTCAGGTGGCCCACATTGCGTCTGTGGATTTGTGGTTGAAGGCGAGAGACAGCAGATCCACCGCAACACTTTTGGTCTTTAACTGTATTCTTATTGCTCCGTTTATTTCTTAAATTGCATTTTATTGCAATTTGATTTCTATAAGGATGGCATATAAGAAATAAAAGAAGCAATTAAAATGCAATTTAAAAACTGCACAGCAGCTGGCACAGCGCACGGCAATTGCTACAACATGCCGGAAAATCTTTAAGTAGTACACCAAGACCCTCAGCAATCTTCAAGTGGTCCAAACAACAACATTCAAAAGTGACCTGAGATGCAGCCAGAGGGCTGGAGGGATGACCTCACTAAGGCTGAAGCTGCTAATGCGTACAAAGCCAAAGAATGAATGCTCAGTAAACAGGTCATTAGGAGGCATCCAGAATTGCTGTTGTTGTTGGCATCCAGCTGTCTTGGGGGACAATGGAGGAGTGCTCCTTTGGGGATGAAGTCAAACCATTAGAGAGTTGCATCGCCTGCTGTGGCTGTAAAGACTGATACAGGAGAGACATGTTTTGTTGCAGCTGGAGCAGATGAAGGCATCCGGTTGTGCTGCTGCAGATGCACCCTGGCGTTTCTTCTCTCTGTGCTCCTCCCAATAGTCATCCCTCCTCTGGTCACTGCTGTGGATACACAACCTGCTGTGATGGTAAAATACAAGGAGTGAAGAACCAGGTGTCCCAACTTGAGCTCCTTGGTAGAAGGCATGATAGAAATGTGCTAAATAAAATCAGAAGAGGTGCCAGGGCTCAGGTCTGGGTGGAGCCTGGCAACTTGCCTTAGTAACCCAGGCTTAACCGGCTGCTGCTCTGGACTGGACTGTTTTTATTTTATAAATGGCTTTGATTTTAACGTTATTACACTTTTCTTGTAAAACTTCTTGCAAACCAATGCAGGTGCTAATGTGGAAAGGCGAGATCAGGGCCAGATTAGGACCTTTATAGGCCCTAAACACTGAAAATATGATGGTGCTTCCCCCGCCCCCATGTAATTTAAAATAAAAACTATACTAAAACTATACTTGCATGGAGTGGAGTGTAACAAAGTCTAACAAAGTTCTGATTTCCCTATGACAACTACTTTGAGGCTTGTTTTTTGAAGTATGAAATGCCGAATACTTTCCAAAAACAATTTCTCATTTTTGTGTGTGCACCCCTTGCTTTGCTGCTGCTCAAAGTAAGCATGCTTATTGGTTAACCCAGCACTGAATGGGATATACGTAAGTTCAAGCAATTATAGAGAAATAAATAGGGAGAAGCCCTGCCCTTCCTACATCTCAATGTGTGAGGCAGGATGCAATTGATTGGCACACTCTGCACATGCTCAGAAGCATCTACTGTGTGTGCTAGCACTTCATATCCATTTTTAAAAAAGAGTTTCAGCCACACAGGAAACTGGTGGTGCTAAATAGATATTGAGGAGAATTAAATACAGGGCAACTTCTGTTTCCTTTCATACCTTTCTCTCTCTCTTACTTGGCTTGCAACAAGAGGAAGGGTTATTTTTTTTCAGAGGGAAAAACATAAACATGTTATTGACCACAGCGAGTAAACATCTTGGGCTATTTTGAAATCGCTAATGATAAAAGGGTGTGTGAACATCCGGCACAGGGTTGCTCTGAACTCACCAGTGCAATTAAGGCGTCTTTTTTGGGCAAGACCTACAAATTGCCTCCACTGAGTTACCTTAAGCAGAATTTCCTCTCTGGAAGGGCTGACAATGATTCAATATCGCCACCAGAGAAGCTCCCAGCACTCAGAGTGGAACTTGCTCTATCAGCCCAAACCTAAAGCGGTGCTTGTCCAAAGGCGACAATCCATGTGTGGGCTTGCAATGGGAAATAGCCCAACAGCGATGCTGCCTTTTTAACTCTTGTTGGGAAATCCAAGTTTTCTTAGCATGCCTCCTGTAGCACATTTTCCATGTTCTTCTTAGACTGGTGATTAACATTGGGACTCAAAAGCCCTTTTTATACTACAAAAGGTTTATCGAGTTTCTATCAGTTTCACAGGGCTTATTCCTGGGAATTGTAGCAGAGGCGGTTTTAAGGTTGGCGCAACCGGCGCGATGCACTGCATGGGAACAATGCTGTAGAACAGAGCAAGAGAGGCAGGGGCACGACTAATTTTAGCATCGCACAGGGGGCTGCTGAAATTTAAAAGCCCAGTGTCTGACACATTATAATTTGGTGAGGATGCTGAAAATGTTCCGTTCGGATACCTCTCGCTTCTCCCTCCTCTCAAGACTACAATTCCCAGGGCCCTTTGAGGGTAAAGAAATGAGCTTTAAATCATCTTAAGGCTGTAGCAGTACTATAGACACTTCGGAATAAATTTTTACAGAACTCTTCCTAAGGGCTCACCCACACTTTTGCTTGTGCTGTCCCGAAAAAGCACAGGACCTAGTTGTTTTCTGCACTTTTTAGGCCTGGGTCCAAGCAGTTTTAACCTTGCCACACTACTTTCCAAGGGAAAATCTGCTCTTTAGCGATTGATTGGAACAAACGGCAATCCGGGGAAACTCTAAATTGCTGTTTGCTCTGATTGAGTGCTAAAGAGTGTTTTTCCGAGGGGGTTGGGGAGCAGTAATCATGCATAGGATGTGTAGCTGTGCCCTTTGAATGGAGGGGCGTGGAGGGGTCAGCAGGTGACTCTGGAGGACAGGTGCTTCGACAGCGGTGGCAGGTACCCTGCAGGACAGGTGGGGTGGAGGCAGGGAGACTAACAGCCAATGATGTCAGAGCCAATGACAAGCACCGTCCACTAATCCTGCTTCTGTCTCCATGTTTCTGCTTGCTGAGGTGTACAAGGGAAAATCTGGGTCTTAGGAGGAAGCAGACAACCAGGGTCTTCCTTTGGACTGGTTGTTAAGTAAGAAGACAGGCAAGCTTGGATGAATCAAGATGGTGGGGCAGTCCCCGGTTTGCCCCACTGGACTTTCAAGGCTATGGTTTGAAGGCACATGCTGCCACCATCTGATCAGCACTTGTTGAAGCCTACAGGACTGAGTCCA